ATGCAGATTTTTGTAAGAAATTTTATATAAATCTGGTACTTGTTAGTGTGTTCGTTCAGCATCAATGGAAGCATTTTCTGTGGCCATTATGTGGTTAATTATTACTACGGTTATTTGGTTTATTCGAGGGATAGGTTTGTCAGTAGGGAATCGATGGTAGAAGAAATTAATCCTTCGCGTATTAATTAAGCGATTGATATATAATTTAGCTTCATATGTTAAAGGTTTTGTATATTTCGAAGAATCAAAGGTAACCCTTTGCGGACGAATGTCAAAATTTCGGCGAGATGAAATGTTGATGTTTCGAAGACTAAGTTGCCAACAAATGATTTAATTATTCAGACAGCGAGAGATCAGCATGTATATTCCGTTTTTTCTATTATTTAAGCAATTGGTACATAATTTACTTTCGTCTGCTGTATGTTTTGTATATTTCGAAGAATCCTCGTCCGGAAAGGGTTAATTGGCGTCGTTTTGGAGCAAGTTCACGGTGAAACGACAAGTTAATGTCCCGCGGATGGTGGATCGGTGTCGAAGGAGTACGTGGCCGTTTTCAGACGGCAGCGGGGAACGCCGAACACGCTCGCTACCCTGCAATCTACGTCCTAATCGACGATTCATCCGCGCGAGGCGGAAGAGGAATGCAAATGATAGATCGCGTCGCGGGTGGCGTAACTTTTCCTCGCGTTTGCGCAACGTGTTTCACGGTCAAAACGTGCGACGTGCTTGTAGAATGCACAATGGAAACAAAGCCTGGGGAGTATCGATGATTTCATTATTTCTCCGGGGATCTGTGTGAAATAATTGAGAAAAGTTCTCTATTCGTTATCTAACTCTCGACGCTATTCGCATGGAAAAATTGATACATGAATATTATCAATGTTAACCCTTAGATTTGGATGTTTTTCAGTTTAAATATTTCAACATTTTCTGATGAGATCGTGACGATATTTTGTGAAACTAACTGAAAGAGAAATCATACGTATATTGAGGAACAGAACTATTTTATCTCAATATTCCTCAAATTGATACATTATACAGGGTATAATATTAAATATCGAATTCTATAGTTTTATCGTATGAAATTTGGGGGTGAACGAGAGTCACCTCTCGAGTGCAAAGGGTTAAGTTGCATCTAATTTGATGACCAAAGGAGAGAACAATTATCTGTGGTATGTATGTACAAACTACAATGGAAAATATGATTAGAATTAAAGGAAAACTATTGTCAATTATTTCAATAATTGAATACCAATAACAAAAGTAATGTTTTAATTCGCTCTGAGAAGAAAAGAATAATTGATACATTTTCTGATTTCAATGTTAATTCTCTATTCTAACGCAACATTCCAATAATGTAGGACATAAAATTATCAACTCAAAGGGAGACGCTAAAGGCGGTCGCATTCTTATCGCGCAGCAACGTAACGCCCTGCTCCCGATGACGAGCGGACGTTGACCCCTTCCCGGTGATAATTAACGTCAATTCAAAACGGTAGTTCACCGAACACCGTTTCGCGTGGATTTGCATGTTAAGAGGCCTCATCTCGCCACGTCGAGAATCGTCCGCGCGTCGGACGCGGCTCGAGGATCCGCGAGTCTCAGGGCCGCGGAAGCCAATCGTTAAGCCCTCTACACACATTGAGACAAGTAAGCGATGCGTACATGGACTCTCAGGATTCACGATAAATCTTGCAATCTATGTCGTTCTACATCAGAAGCAACTGGCGTTGACAAAACGAACAGAATCCTGCTTTAGTTCACAAGAAAACCCTATTTAGACTTCAGTCTTACAACAAACATCTTTCACTGGATAGTAAAAGTAGTTCAATAATCACTTTCACTCCTTCAGTTCCCTTAACGACACAGAATTGGATCCGCTTATTCGAATAAACCATCAGTTCCGTTTTCTTTTAGTCGATCCTTCATCTTCACGATCAGCGAACCTCCTATTATTACCAATGACAGCAGTTCTCATAGAAGTACCGATCGCCGATGACTGTTCCCTATCAATCCAACATTCCAAAGTGCACGTTTCGTTAGCGTCGCGCGTGAAACTGAATCGTGACGAAAGCCAGGAACCATTGCGCGCGTCGCGGCGCGTCCGACCGTGTGCAGGGTGCTTGAGCGACGGGCGAAACGTCGTAAAAGATCAACGACGGCGGCCGGCCGTCCCGTCGCCGTCGGTAGCCGAGGAAAATTACGGTTCGCGTTCAGCCCGGCGTAGTTTATGCCTTTTACGCGCGGAGCCCGGGGATCGCCGTTTAGGCGGTGTTTACAACGATCCTTAAGGGCAGGCCGCTTGTAATACGGCCGGTGGCCGCGCTGGATCGGCTGAAAGTAAGTTAATCCGGGGTTACCGGTTGCTGCTTCGCGACGTCGTCGCTTGCGGGTAACGGGGTGGCGACAAAAACCGCGTGAACTCGGGCGTGAACGCGAGATCCGTCTGCCGTACGGTTGGCTACTCCGCGAGATCGACCTTCGCGAGATCTCGGGCTCCCCGTTTTTTCCGCGGCGCGTGCATCTAAGTACGTCATGCAACTGCGATCCCGTCGATAGACTCGCCGGTTTTTTCCCCCGCGTTCGGTAACGGAAACGGAGCCGCAGCTGCCTGCTCGCGAGGGACCACCGACTCGTATCGGTAATTACAGTTACACACCTTTTATAGTTGGCGCTCCTGCGCGTGACCTTGGCATTTGGGCGGAGTCAGCGTGTTATCTTTCATTGGATCGTGGATTTTGGCTTTTAATCCTTTGCCATCGAGAGTTCTGTGCTGTATTCTACATTTTCTGATGAGATACGGATGATATTTTTTGAAACTTGCAGAGAGATTACACGATTTCAATTCAATATTAAACCTTGTGTAATGTATCAACACATGAAACATCGAAGTAAAATAGTTCTGTCTCTTAATTTATGGAAGATAATCAATTGTGTTAGTTGCGAAAAATATCGTTAATATTTAGTCAGAAAGTAATGATTATTTTTAATGAAAAATATTGTCGAGAGCAAAGGGCTAGGTAACAAAGATATTTGATTTGACGAGGAACAGGTTTAACGAGGAACAAGTTTAGGAACAAACTCACTTTATTAGTTTTCAACTAATCAAAATAAATTTCAGCTTTAAATTCAGGAAACCTCTATTAGGGAGTTCAACCAGGCCAATTAGGGCACGAATTACAAGGGCAGTAATGAGTCAGTCAGTCATTAGAAAGTTTTTGGTACCAACCTTGTGTATTTAACAATTTCAATATAACTTTCAATAGAAAGTTTAATATTAAGTGTCAAAGTTTTTAATTTTGCTGTATCAAGTCAAGTGACTGATTTGCACCCAGAGTGCACAGAGATAACTGTTGGCGTTTGTTTTGTAGCGTCCGTTAACGTGGGAAATGAAATTTTATTTGAACCCAGTCTCTCGGACTGTAATCAGGGTCTTGTTGTACGACGATCAAGATGTTAGTAAAACAATCGTCAATAAAAAGGTGGAAAAGTGGTATACCGGCAAATCCCGCAGCAGGCTGATGCGCTAGGATAGCTGGAAGCCATGTTCATTATGCGGTGAGAGGGAATTTAATGATCGCGAGGCGCATTTTCCTCGGAAGGTCATTCGGTTTTCACAGCGACGCATAAGGAGGCCGTAACGCGAGAAGACCGCCAGCTGAAACGGCGAAATTGCTGAAAATTGGTTCGATCGTTGAACGGAAGAAAGTTCGGCGGCGGCTAACAAGAAAGTTTCCCGCGAAGGTCGTCCGTACGAATTTTAAGGGTTCCACGGGAGAAAGGCGGTATGGGAAATTGGTCGGACGTTAGAAAAACAGTAAACACAAAGCAAAACCGCATAATCGGCCGCAATTAATTCAATTACATAGTGAAAGGAAGTTCAATGTCTACTAACAAGGCAGCGCCGAACATCGTGCCTCGTACGCGCACGTTTATCCCCCCCTCTTTTTGCTGTTCCCGTATCGTTCATCATTCGCGAACGCGGCGCGCGATAAATCTGCCATGAAAAAGGCAGCCGGCTGTTGAAAAACCGCGATTTCCACGTTTGACCTGGTTCGCGTGGGATGCGCTGCGTGACGTTACACTTCGAGGCTCGTACATATCATTCCGCGAAGGAATGAGCGTCAGTTAGTCGCCTCGGAGTCGAGGTACCGATCAAGGCATCGCGTTCGCTGACATTGATTCGATTACTGGGTTTACGGACACGTCAATTTAACGCATATTGAATTTTATAAAGGTTATTCGGCAAATGATTAACTTGACTTTGATTGAAGCAATTACACGAGTGTACGTCTTGATCGTCTATCTTCCAGTCTCCGAGTTTCGAGATCCGAATCAACGAATATCAATTTTTCTAGGGACAATAGAACGAGCTGCACAATAAACGTCCGTAAATCTAGCGTTAACACTAAAACTATCAGTCATGTCCTAATCACGCATTCCTGATTTCTTCCCTATTCAATTATTTGAAAAATGACGGACGTTACTCTAAGGAGTTATTGAAGAGATTGATTTAAAAATAGACAAACTGAATTTCAGATCAATTAAAGCCTCAACGGATGCACTGTTGGAGTTTCTGTAGAGGAATTTCAAAACGTTAATTTAACTCGGTAGTTCTACTGTTAATTCCTTGTCCTATTGATTTCTTTTGCAGTTGAACCTCGTACAATTACTTTATCGTTACTAATTTAGTAGAAAAAGGAAAGAGTTTATACTCTGTGTTGACGTTTGCTCTAAAGGTCAAAGATTGATGATAGACACGTAATATTTCACTGATACGAAAACTGAATAAATGAGAGTTATATTTGCCGAATTCGGTTGGAAATTTTTGTTAGGAGTTTGACTTGACATTATAAGAGAACATAATTGTGCAATTAATGCGGTACGTGATAAAGTGTCCTTCGCTCGCTGCCACGAAATTTAGAGTTTTCCGCCGAGGCAGCGTTAGGAAACACGGTTTTCCCGGAAACACGTGATTTCGCAAGAACGATGGTACTTACCGCACGACCTTGTCGCCACCCGTTCGGCCTCTGCACTTCCTACCATCGATTCACGCAGCGCGTTATCTGGAATCAGGATGAAACGTGAATTTAACGAGCACGGCCGAGGAATAAAGGATAATCAGTAAACCGTAGATTTCTATGCAAAATTAGAATCTTCTCAAGCAATTCAAGAAACAGAGGGTTTCAGTAGAAATCCATTCCCAAAGCATTTATTCGTTGCGCAAGCGTAAGAAACCGCGGAAAATCGAAATTACTAACAATCGCGGCAAGGAAAATTCAAAATTCGTAGGATTGGCGAATTTCAAAGTACAATAATACTTTCTAAATCCTCCTCAAGGTTCCCTCTGCTTCGCATGTCACTCACGTTTGCCAGAAACGCGGTTGTGATCCAGTAATTGGTCCACCGATCAATTTTCCCGGCGATGCAATCGTTGCTCTACCGTGGATTGCATAAAGGAAGACGGTCGATTGAATTCGAGGAAGGATTGCGTCGGTGACCCGGCGAGAAATGATTTTCTCTTTGGTAGATTGACGGCGACGGTGATTAATAAAACGCGGCCGGCGTAAAAAGGCATTCCGAGTGGTGGTTTTCCAGCCCCGGGGGCAAGCTGTCGGCGCAATTACTTCTAATCGGTTTAGAAAATCCGCGTGCCGAAACATCGCATCCCGGCGTCCAATTAAGGAGCATCCTTGCCGATCGTAATCGATGCCGAGTTCTTTCGTTGTACATGAACCGGCTACGGTTTGGCCCTTGATTTCACCTCTCACTCGATAACAAGCGGCGTCGGATGCCTATTATGAGCGCACAAACGGCCCCGCTGCTGGACGTTCTTAGGAAAGGAGCCACTCGTAACCCCTTCTTTTCGATCGTCATTTGTTAGAGCCACCTGGATATTCGCCGATTAATCACCGGACGAGGTAGAAAATTATAACAATAGCCGTAACGTCTCTATCGCTCCATTAAAGAACCGTGCTCTAATACCGAGTGGTACGAAACGAAACGATTCTGTTCGGTTGCCAGTTCTTCGATCTTTAACCTTTAGCACTTCAGGTTGTTTTGTAATCTATCGGCAACTGCAACTAATTCTTATAGTATTCATAGCGAAAATTAGAAATGTTATAATATTTCTTCGATCATTTATTTTCCTACTTAATGGAACATTTGAATGCGTGAAAAATCTAATAATTATAGGGTAGTTTCTTTAAGCTTCGTTAAAATATTTAGTATTATAACTGGTGCAATATTAGAGTCTACAGAGTTCAAGGGGTTGACTGCCATGCTGATTAACGATGAGCGGAGTTCCAAATTGCTGAAGAACAATTCCAATGAAAAATCTTGATTTTAAATAAAAATATTCAGTAACATAAGTAGCTAGATCATAGCGTAATATGACTACTGTAATGCTAAATCATTAATAATTATTTTCAATATCATTTGCCTTTGTTATTAATAATGATTAAAAACGTAACAGATTATTCTCTGAGAAATTACTACAGAAATTGATCTAGATCAATCAGATCAGAACGTTCGCTACCAGCGGTTCAGTGACGGTCTGCTCAATCATATTTCCTTCGATCCGATAAACCTAAACAAAATATTAGAAAAATGAAACTGAAACGAGTCATTGAGTTTCTGAATATAATGTCATTTATAATTTCCAATAGCGTTATCCATAGAGTTAATTTCATTTTCATTATGTAAAATAGGATTACAAATATATAACTATTTCTATAGAGACTATTAGTAGACCAATTCTTCCAATGAAAATCAAACTTCGAGTCGTTCTTATTTTTTTGTACCCGTGAATATCTAAATAGAGTCACTAAACGTCTCATAGAAAGCTATTACAGTTCTGCGTTCACCGGTCTCACCGATCCAAAGAGAACGCGATGCACTGTCAAACAAAAAGAGTAGGCCGAGGTGTTATCGATCTATCCAAAAAAGTGCTTATCCAGAAGCTGACATATCCGGCACAACAAATTACCGTAGGACCAGCGGATAAGCGCGTTTAAAGGGTTAATGCCGATAAGCGGTGAAAAGGAAACCGGCGACATCCTAGAAAGCTGCGCGCAGAGGAGCCAGCAGCAACGGCCACCTTCTTTCTCCCCCTTAATTCCCCGTCTCGTTTCATTTCCCGAGCACGAGGTTAATGTATGCCTGCGTTTTAGCGTGTGTAATTACGGAGTCGCGGCGCAAAAACGGCCGGCCGGCGGATCGTTAATAAGACGCGTCGCCGTGGCGCTGGGAGGGGATGAAAGTCCGGGTGGTTTCGTGCTGCCACGGGGCCACCGAGCGGAGATAATTAGCAGGACTCGGCCGATTAACCCCTCGCGCTATGATTTCTTTCGTAACCGCGCTCGACGGAAATAATTTATTCTTTACGCTTCACCAGAAAGGAAAAGGGTAACCACAGTTGATAGAAAAATAAACCTCTAGCGTGACATACGAGTTGTATAACAATAAATTAACCTTTTGGACTTCAGGAGTTTCTCATTGGAGGTATTCAACATTTTCTAATGACATGCCAAATACATTGTTTCAAATTTGACGAGAAATCGCGTATAAATTGAGAAACGAAACTATTTTCTTATCTTTCATGTATCGATGTAGTTTATATAATTTTCTTCCTGTGGAAAATGACAATGGAATTAATTATTTGATGTCACAGTTCTTACGTTACGCTATTATCTTGTTATCTACGCTACTGAATTATTGGACATCGGCTATCTTGTAAGTTATAATTATTTTCTTGTAATTTTGGAGCTCCGTTTAATATTAACACTTATTAAAAGACACCTGAAATTTTCATTCTGAAATTTTCGCTTACAATTATTTTCCCAGTTAAATCAATTGTCCTCAATTGAATTTTGGACGTTTCCTATAATTAATTTTATAATTGTTACTGAAAAACTCGTACAGTTAATTCAGATTATACGACTAAACTCGGAGAATAATTTTAATTTAAAAATTCCAAACGTGTCTTTTGAGACCTTTGGTACAAATACTGTTAAATGTCAAACTTCATCATTTTACTATATCAAGTCAATTAGCTACTGATGCGCCTACGAAGGGTTATACATAGAATCAATCAAATTCCATCAATTGACAATATCAAGACAAATCAAAATTTAAATGATGAATTACTGAAAATTCATTGTTCCTACATCATAATTCAATAACAACAATTTATGTATTCTCATCTGCAGCATGACATACGAGTGTCAACACGTTGAATGCCACGGGGGTCACCGATGACCCCCGACCAAATCGAATTACTATAGTTCACTCACTCAAACGATGATCATATGAAAATATTTCTATATTATAAATAATGTTATCTAATATGGTGACATCCAGATGAATGTGGAATACTAATGCAATTCGATTAAATGATTCAATATTATATTTTTTCCATTTTGTGTATTTCCCTTTATGAAATCGTGCGGTGTTCAACGTGTTAATAAAGAATCATCGGTGAGTAACGAAGCTTCCGTCTCGCAGGAGTTGTCCGGTTGTCCAAGCGCGGAGGCTCGCGCGAGCGCAATTATTTCTAATCGGTTTAGAAAATCCGTCGAGCGCCGTGAACCGGAGACTCGGGCGAGTTTAAGAGGAGAGGCGAGGTGGAACGGGCGCGTGCGTTTAACTCTTGAAGCGATCCTTCTGGTTTCCAGCTATTCGTTTCTGGCTCGTCCAGGTTTCTTCGGCGCGTCTGCCCCGGCCGTATCTGGCCGATAATGTCTCCCGGCGGTTATGTGTCGGCGAGGAAGCCACCGGAGCGCCGATCGTTCCTCTTCCTGCAGCCGGTCTTGTTTTTCCCGCGGAATCGAGCGTAGGAGAAATTACCGGGTCGCCACTTCGAAAAGCCGACCGGCGATCGTTCTCCCATTAGCCTCGTTACGATCGGGAATGGGTCGAGGAACTCTCTCCCTCTTTTCTCCTCCGCTTCTCCGCGCGGACGTCTCGCCGTCCCTCTTTCCTCGCGCGACGACGCGACGACGCGGACGTAACGACTTCGCGCACGCGAGATGGAACGATAACGGTGCTAGGAATTGTGCGTTTGATGCGTCCCTCTCGCGCGGAAAGTGTTCTCGTCTAATTAGGCTCGGGCGCGCGTTTCGAGGCGAGTTGCTTTCAGTTTTGTTAAAGCGTTCCCTGCTTTTCGGCGGTTTAGGGTTCAAACTGTGGAGTCTGAATTGGGTGGAGAATTGGTTTATGTTGCGTAGATTGAATTCACGAGGATTATTATCGATTATTACCGATTTAGAGAATTATATTTGCTAGAGTTCAACAGTAGAACTACCAGGTGAGTCAAATTGACCCGTTCCTATGTTCTTTACCGATGAATAAACATGCTCCTCTGCGGAATCACTGAAGGAATTGATTTAGTAACACTCAAACTCATTAGTCAATTGAAATCTTGGTAGCTGCGTTCTTAGAGTTCCCATAGACAAATTTCGAAGAGCCCATTTGGCTTGGTAGTTCCAGCATTAAGTTCTTTCGCTGTATAATCTTGACATTTCAAATGAATCTCTGTTTTATTTCAATTTCTGTTAAACGACCGACATTTTTAACTCCTAACTCCCAGCCACGAGGACAATGGAATTTCCCGGCGGGTTAATTACGCGCGATGCAAAAGTTTCCAGCGTGCCCTATTGTTTCGAACTTCCTTGACAGCCGATTACGCCGAAAAACAGAGTTTCCGGGTTGCTGGTCAGAGTACATCGCGAATCCCGCGGCAGTTCGGTGCTCGTTGAACGGAGTCCATCGACCGCGTTGCTTTTAAATTCATTCTGTCCACGGAGCGATCCCGAAGTTCCGTCTATCGGGGGCCATTGTCGAGAGAGTTGGACGGATTCTTCGGTCTCCGAGCGAGGAAAGTTTCCCGAGAAGCGAAAAACTTTTCTCCCCCGGATCAGAACGGCCCCGCTCGCCGCGGCAGCGCCGCGGTCAAAGGAATCCGCCGCGCGTTCCGCGAGGGATCGCCAGACTGCCGGGCGCCAAACGATCGCTAAACGATTTCGCGAAGTTCGATGATTAATCGACCCGTTTCCCGTGGAACGCG